AACTCTCAAGTGTGCTGGGCCGGAAGCTTTGGTCGAGCCAGGCTGTTAATATCAATATGTTCATCAGCCAGGCTGGTTCCAGAACAATTTCTAGCAGGGGAACCCGCCTAGCACAGTGCCTGATGTGATTTGATCTAAAAACACACGTCTCTTGAATATCAAGTCCACACAGACTTCACTCATAGTTCATTGTTTTGTTCAGTATTTAACATTGGCAGCAGGGTGCTGGGTTTTCCTCCCTAAGACAATAAATGAGAAACACCCATGAGAGATGGTAACTGTCTGAGGCCAGAGCTATCTCCTGGGGGATCTGCAAAGAGCACCTATGTCAGGAGCCTTCAGCTCTGGCCAGTAGCAGCCCAGATACCCTGGTAGGACCCAAGAGGGCAGGAGAGAAAGGTGAGCACTAAGGCCACCATCAGCCCCATTCACTGCTACCTATCCAGGACATAAATTAGTAGCCTGCTTTACCCACCATGGCTTGCAAGATGCAGCCTTTTCTAACCTCTCCACATCCCCATGTGACTCTGACAATCCTTTGAGCTTAATCTCATGTGGATGAATTTGGGGAGGAGGAAGCAGGGCAGGCACCCTCCAGAGGCTGGGGTACAGGTCAGTAGCTACCAAGCATGGCGGCTCCGAGCAGAGCCGGGTTCAAATCATATTACCTTCTTCACTCAGTTTAGCTGCAAGCGCTCATTTACAAGTAGTGTGTAAAAGTAACCACCTTTTAGGATTCTGGTCATGGTGAACTGACATGAAGCCACAAAGCCAGGGTCACCTAGAGAGCACCCACTAAGTGCTACTTGCCTTCCCTCTCCTCACATCTAGGGTGCTGCTTCTGGTACTCGCCACCATGTTATTGTGGTGCAGCTGTCAAGGAAAGCTGTGTATCCAGCTCAAATTGGATATCAGTGATAAGAAAATGAAATGGAATAAACCTGAATTCATAAAGCCAAGGAGCATTTTTCTGATGTGCACGATCTCTCAAAGGAGCCGACTGAAATAGTGAAGGGAAAAAAGTCATTCTTGCAATATGCATAATCTGATGGAGGCGAAAGCTTTCAGCACCAGGATCTGGAGGCATTCTTCTCAGATTCTGCAGCCTGGATGGGTTGCAGATAAGCCTCCCCTCTGAGCCCAGCCCTGGGAACTTTCTGAGTCTCATCCCCAACCCTGGACTGTAGAAACTCAAAATCACTCTGTCTATTCACCCGAGATAGCACCCAGGCTCCCAAAATCCCCCCACTAAGCCTTTTGAAATCACAGGAACCATCTGCTTTAGGCATAGAAATGAGATATTACAAAAAGTTGCCACACAAAGGTCATTATTTCTAGAGGACAATGGGGGAAAACAAAGCCTTTAATAAAGGCTTTTGAAGCTGACGCACACAGCAGTCCAGCATCCCTGGCTGGTGGAGGGCCGCTCCCTGCTCCCTGCTCCCCGCTGGAGACACAGGCTGCTCCTGCTCAGAGGCTTTGACGTGCACGTTATGCAGCGTGAGCAGCCTAATACTGTATTCCTCTCCTTGGCTGCCACAGCAGCCCGCCTGGCTGCTTCACCCTGACTTGGGATAGTGAAGGTTCAGGCTCATTATGGCTCAGTTTTCGTCACAGCCTAAGTAAAGTGCAGAATTGTGGTAATTACCCAAATGATCCAGAGAAGAGGGGAAAAAATTAAAATACCCTGTGTTGAAAAATACAGTTTCAGAGGCCTGGTTCAACAGACTGTCAAATGCCCCACTTTCTCAGCTGTCCAGAGAGGTAATAATATGCACAATTAGCTGATCCCTCCACCAGCGGTACCATTTCTACTGGATGGCTCCCTAGCAGATGTCAAGCATACAGTGTCTCACAAAACTAACCTATACCCTTCTCCTCCCTGAGCGGGACATGCCCCTCTCTCAGATTTAGAGCCATCCCCCGGGATGCTGAAAATCTAAAGTCCTTAAGCACCAGTGAAATCCTGCCATTTAGTTCTTTAATCTGGCTGAGCAAAAAATTCCAGATATAAATTGTGCTCACCCAGGCATGATGAATGGTCTCAGACAGCATTGAGTTTGCTCTAGATCTTTCTGCCAGCAGTCGTCCCTATTTGGCTTCAGAGCTTACACCTTCACAATCACAGGACCAACCACCACTGCCAGTGAGTGCCCAGGGACAGGAAGGCAAACTGTCAACCACCCACTGGAGTTCCCCGGAATTAACAGGTAATAATGATGCAGCCCAGTAGCGCTAGACCACTGCAAAGAAACACTCATTCTGGGGCTGGGGATTTAGCATAAGCGCCTGCCTTGCAAGCAGGCAGTCGTGGATTCGATCCCTGATACCGATAAAAAGGGAAAAGACAAAAAAAAAAAAAAAAAGAAAAGAAAGAAAGAAACACTCATTCAGTGTCCTTGAAACATTCTGGTGGAGCTAGGATCTGACCCTACTGCCGACCAGAGGTGAGACCTTGAACAAGTTACTCAACTTCTCTGTATCTCCTATACCCCAGGTGCATGAAGAGAGATGACACAGAGAATTAACAGAGAATGCAACACACATCCCCAGACAGCATCAGGTGCTGACTCCAAACCAAGGGCAGAAACAGCAGTGTTTACTACTCACTCCACAAATGGCCTCGAAGTACATGCAACAAACAAGCATTTGTGGTCCTCAAGGCAATTCTGAAAGGTAGAGGTGTCTTTCCCCCAGCTGGGCTTGACTTGTCCAGATCAGCTTGCTTGTTCCTCAAGAGCCAGCCTGATGGCAGTTGTGGATCATTGGTGGCTCCTGGTGTAGCACTCTCTAAACTCTCTCACCTGGACTCTGTGAATGGGAAGTTAGAGCCAGCCTAATAAAGCTGTGAGAAGTGAAAAGTTTAGTACCATCTCCGTGGCACTGGCATGTGAAGCGCTTGCTTAGAGGAGGGTCCCTCGGCCAGTATGTCATGCCCCTGTCTACTGGGAGATTATGATGATTCTCTTCCCCAGTGCAGATTCCTTTCTGTCACTGTCTTTGTTTCTCCCACAGAGCCTAAGGAAGGCCGCCTGCAGGGAGGGGTAAAGGAGATATTCCCAGTAACCTGCTTGGATGTAGGGTTTTGCACCATGAATCACTGAACCCTAGGTCCACACAGGTGCTCTAGGAGCTGGCAGGGGGGTGGGAGTGGACAGATACAGCCTGAACTTTTCACCTTACCTACAGGGCTAGTGGTGGAAGATCAGGCTTATTTACATTGGAATTCTGTTTAAGATTATCTGTGAAAACAGGATTTACTCCTAAAAGAAGTTTGAGAATCACCTTTCTCATAGCTTCTGAGGACAGAATTTGAGGGCATTAGGGACAGAGGTGAGCAGCCTTGTCCTAAGCCAGAGGAAGCAACCTCATACCTTTTAGTCCATTCAGACACACATTTGGTAGCTGCTGTGTGCATACCAGGTGGTGATAAATAAAAAGTAAAACAGAGGTGATGACCCATAGTGAGGGCAGGACAGACACCCCAAAGGCAGAAAAAAACAAATACTACTTAATGCAGCCAGTCTGATCCTTAGGTTATATGACTTTGTAATGGTTTCCCCTTTTAACTTAAATTTTCCCTCCCCCGGGCAGACTATAATTTTCCAGGGGGTAAGAAACGTCTCTTATTTATCGAACATTTGGTAAGCACCTAGCACACCAGCCAGACACAGGGAAGTCTCAGAATCGTGTGGGAGGGACAACAGTGGTTCCTGCCTCAGGTAACTGTCTCTGGACAGTAGCTGGGAAGATGCTGCCAAAAATGTGAAATTTAAGCTTGATCTTGCAAGATCAGCAGCTCTCCACACAACTCTTTCCATTTCCTGGGGTCCACAGCAGCATCCTACAGGACACCCTGATGGACCCACCAAGCTCAGAGGCAGGTGAGAGCTGAAGAATCACTGACCCCCTGCTGTAGATCTCTGAGGCCTCCCGCAGAGAAGAGCTTAGAGCTGAGTGTTGAAAGAGTCTGGCCCACCTCCGAGAAGGGAGCCCGTCCAGGCTGGGATTATGCCATGAGCAAAGGCAATTAAATAAAGCCAGCAGAGCTGGGGCAGAGGCTGGCAATACAGGGAGGCACAGAAAGCCTGTCAAGCTCGAGTAGAGCCAAAAGCAGCAAGAAATACAGGTCCTGAGCAGGAGCTGGGAGGAAGAGGGGAAAGAGGGGGTGGAATGCTTGAATCAAATACAGCAGGGGGTGTTCCTGGCCTCTGGGAGCAGAAACCTGGTGCGGGAGGTCAGCCTCACCTTCAGTGTCACCCAGAGTCCCGGGCCTACCTGAGCTTGGCAGGAAGAGCTGAAGGAGCCCACAGGCTCAGGAGCTACTACGCCAGGACTCATCCAGCTTGAGGATGGGGTGGCCAAGGCCTGTCCTGTCCTATTATGTGTGACTCCCGGCCAGGACCACATCTGGGGTTTCTGGAATGTGACTCTCACCTACACCTTCATGGCCAGGTCGAGGCACAGAAATGCTCAGAGACAGTACACAGATGCACACCACACTCCAGAAATCCCAGAATCACCAGGGACGAAGGGGAGGCTGGGCGTCCCTTGTTGGTTAGGAGAGGTGGCTGGAGAGAAGCTGCCTTTCAGTTCTCCTGGGGAACCCTGCCCTGGCTTCCTTCAAGCTAATACTGTGAATGAACCCTCGGAGAGGAGAGAGTGCGCGCGAGTAGGGGAAGCGGAGAGGAGGGGCGCGGAGAGGAGGGGAGGAAAAACCACTGCCAGGGTAGAGTGCTGAGCGGAGCTCCAAGCTGGGCGGGGACTGCAGTGCGGGGGAGACGCGAGGGGCTAGGGGCGCGGGGCGCGGGCTCCGAGCGCGGCTGCTGGGCTGAGCGCCGAGGGCGCAGGGCGGAGGCGCGGGCGGAGCGGAGAGGGCGGACCGAGAGGGAGGAGCCCCTGCGCCGCCGCCAGCCCGCCCGGCCGCCCGCGGAGCCCGCACTAGCCTCGGCGCCTGGAGTTTGAGCCCCGCGCGGCCGGAGCGCAGGCACGCCCGGGGCGCGGGGTCCGAGCGCGCAGCGCGGCGCCGCCCCCCGGCCCTCGGCCCCCCAGCCCGGGCGCCCCCGGATCGGCGCGCGGAGGGAGGAGGGCGGGCCGGGGCGGCGGGCGGCGGACTATGAGGCGCCCACCATGGTGCGATGCGACCGCGGGCTGCAGATGCTGCTGACCACGGCCGGAGCCTTCGCCGCCTTCTCGCTCATGGCCATCGCCATCGGCACCGACTATTGGCTCTACTCCAGCGCGCACATCTGCAACGGCACCAACCTGACCATGGACGACGGGCCCCCGCCCCGCCGTGCCCGCGGCGACCTCACCCACTCGGGGCTGTGGCGGGTGTGCTGCATCGAAGGTAGGGGCCTCTGCCCCGACGCCCACCCCCCTCCCCACACACACAGTGCGGGAGGTGCGGGCCGGGGGAGGGGGTGGGTGCGGCGCGGGCTCCGCGCGAGACACAAAGGAGCGGGAGCGGGTGGGTGGGTCCCCTCGCGACCAGCTGTGCACAGGCTCAGGTCCCTGTCGGAGAGGGACCTTCCCTACACACCGATCCCACAAACTCTGCACTCGCACGCGCACACCCCCTCGCACACGGACACAATGAAACACTGAAACTCACGCGCGCGCTCGCGCGCAGAGCTCCAGACCCGGGCGATCCCCAGGGGCCGCGCTGGAGCCCCAGGGGGAGGTGGAGGCAGGCGTGGGAGCGGGAGGAGGCTGGGGTTGGGGGAGCGGGCGCAGGAGGAGGGGGAGGGGTTGCTTGGCAACCGGTGTCTGCGATTGCTATGGGAACTGGCCATTCTGGGGCGGGGCCGGCCTGGGGCGGGGAGCGCTGGGGCCGCTCGGCGCTTGCTCTTGGCCCCGCCGAGGGGTAGGGGCGGAGAAGGGGCTGGGCCCCAAGCGTGTTTGGGGGAGCTGGGAAGTCCCTGCCCAAAGCTCAACAGCTTTTCCGCGGGGTCACCGCCCCGCCCCCCTCTGCGCATTGAGGATGTGAGGGGAACGAGACAAGACTCCCCCCAGTCGAGGCAGCGAGCCCTCGGTCGCCGCCCCTAGCTGAAAGCCTGCGAAGACCTCCTTGCCGGGGAGGTTGGGTGCGCAAGGCCACTGGAGGACTCGGCTGGTCTTGGGAGGGGCGTGGTCGCTCCGTAGGGCGAGCGCGGCGACCCCTAAATGGGCGAGGTGGCCGTGTAGCAGGTGTGGTAAGAATGGGATGCCTCTAGGATCCCCAGGACTGTGCAGCCAGTGGCCTCCCGGGTAGGCAGATTCGCTCGGCTTCAGCGCCTCCCCGGTGCCCTTAAGACCAGCTGCTGCGGAACTTGAACTAACAGGTGGCTGTAGAGGGACTGTGTGGTCCAGCCAGGTTGCAGACAGGTCTGTCGCTTGGTGTTTGGCTCTCAGAGTGGGGACCAGTTGGTGGAACGTTGCTTTGATTTCTCAAAACTCTCTGGTCAGAGTTTTCTCTTTTTCCGGCACCTTTCCTGGTGGGCTACTGCGCCCCTGGGTTGTTCGGCAAGTTCTAGCACCCACCTCGCGTCCCTTACTGCAGCCACAACCCTGCAACTAGTTCAGCCTGGCGGGATGCCGTGGAGGTGGCAGGCAGTCCTGGAGCTCCGCCGCATTTGGAGTTGTGTGAAAGGAAGTTTGTAAGCCGCGTTTGCCTGGCCAAGTCGAACTTGTCCCCATTGTCTCCCTGAAACTCTGCCTGTCCTCACCTGGAGTCCTGCCCCTCATTGATCGCCGCTTGGACTCCCAAGTGGGTCTGCTGTGTCCTTTGCAATTTGGAGCTTAATTCTGGGGCTACACGGAGTCTTCAGGTAACAGTAACAAATGTGCAGTTCCGGAAACAGCTACACAAAGAAGCCGGTGGGCCCACCAGCGTACCTTCTTCTTTTCTTTAGAAAAAACATCATTTTGGGGGGGCACTTGCTCAGATCACGAACACCTACTCCTCTTCTTGGATGAATGTACCCACGTCACTACCTGCCACCGCACCTGAGTTAGATACAGAGCAGGGGCTGCAGCACCCCCACATCCTACCTCGAAGGCTTCTCTGGCTGCCATCTGTGTGGCACAGAAGGTCATGTCACTGTCATCCCCATCCCAAAAAATGTGTGGACCTGGGGCCTTCCAGGTTCCCAGGGGAAATTGGAACTAACCCTCCACACTGGCAAGCCTGGCCTTCGCAGGGACCTGAATGCCTCCTTTATTAATTCCTCATCCTAATTAGGATTGATGCTGCGCTTAGCATCTTGCCAGCTGCCTCGAGCCATTTGCACTCGCCGTTCATCAAGAGAGCCCCGAGCTGATCTGGGCAGCTGGCTCCACTGGCAAAGAGAGCCATCTGGGGGACTTGAGCAGGGCTGCCTGTGTCATTCCTTAAAGCTCCTGGGATCTGGGGCTGGGAGAGCTGGTTTAAGATTCTTTATTGTGGCTCAAATCATTATGACAGTTCCCTACCTGGGTAGGAGCTCCCAGCATATCTTATAAAAACACGTGGTGGAGGCCGACACCTCCCAGAGCCAGCTGACACCTCCGAGAATGCCTGGCAGCAAGCAGCCAGGGCTGAGACCCTGATGGCACATTAACCCCAGGTCACTCCCCTGGAGGATGGGAGGTGGCCATCATGTTGGCTTTTATGTATGAAATGCCTAGTTTCCACCTGTTCTTTAGTACAGCACCCCAAATTCATTACATTCAAACCAAAATGGGGTTGGGGGAATCAAACCTGAGCTGGAACTGAAGAAATACTGCAGCAGGCAGCTAATAAGACTTTGGGTACAGCACAGAACTCTGATGGGTTTGCTGGCAACTCATTCCTGGGTGTTTGCCATAAATGGTGGACTAATTACCCTGACCTCTGTGTGCTCAATATATCCGTGCAGCTGGGCAGGGGTGTTGCCCCAGCCTCGTTCTGACCCCTCAGGCAGCATCTTCCTGACGCATGTTTCTCCATGGGACAAGTGTCAGACTGCTCAGTGCCAGAGTCCGGTGTGTGGCACACCCACCAGACTCACAGTGGCCCCATGAAGACCGAGTAATGACTTCATCCACATCTGCAGGTGAGGGAATGAGGCCCAGAGAGGTTCCAGGACTTTCCCAGAGGCTCCTGGGCCAGATATGAGCCTCTGTCTCACTACAAAGCTCTTCCCACCATGTCATCTTGCCCTTTCCCCAAGAGCTACTGGGTTGCCATTAAAAATAGAACCAAGCACTTGGCTATCCAGTGGAGCCCTGCTCTGAGTCCAGGCTGGCGGCAAAATGAAGGCATAGGAGGTGAGGATGTATAACTGATGCAAAATTGCATAACACGTTCTTCTCTTCTACCCCTTCACTGTCCTTTCCTTCCCCTTCCCTCTGCTTCTCTGTCTCTCAGTTTCTCTGTGTCTCTGTCTCCCCTTCCACTGTCTTCTGGACAACCACTATGATCAGTCTTCTGCCCCCAGCTCCTGAGACCCTCACTTCATTCTTTGTATCTCTGGTGACCTCCAGCGAAGGCTGGGGACACTTTTTTTAAAAGGTAATAGATCTGTTTCCATCAAATACATCATCAGCCAACATTTGTTCCCCCTCTGCGTGTTCTAGAAAGGGACAGAGTGCAGAATATTAAGCACATGTTACAGAGCATGGACTGAGGAGGGAGAGAAGACCCTGGTAAACATGGAGGCAGTAGGAGACTCTAGACCCAGAGGGACCCATTTGTGACTACCTGCCAAGGTCCGAATGTCTATTATGAACTCTAAAGTGCTCATTGGGCCGCTGGTGTGCTGGGATCAGGGCCTGCAGGGGACCCAGCCACAATGCTGCTGTCAAGAGCACTCTGAGCTCAGCATGCTTGGTCCTGGCAGAGCTGAGCCTCACAAGTGTCCTCCTCAATCCAATAAAGCTGCCCTCCAGCAACTTATGGTTCTGTCAGAGCCTTCATGAGGCAGCCTTGATGCCAGGCTTGGCTCCTATACTTACGTTGTGTCAGCTAGGTGCTGGATTAGCAGGAGAAGGTTCTAGAATCTGAGACTGAGAATGTCCTGTGCCCTCATGATGCTCCTCTCCCTCACCTGGACAGCAGCTCTTATACCAGTGTCCCCAACTTTCTTCACACTGTGGCACACAGAAAGAAATCCAAGCACAGCACCCTGGAGGAGGGGTTTGAGGGTCACCCACTCACAAGTGGGAAGGGTGCCTATTTTTCTAGCACACCTGGAATCATGCCCATGAACTGGGAAACTCGACCTTACCTCACACTCCTGACCTGGGACCCCTCTGAGAAGACTGATCCAAATAATGCTGTGCCATGGACTTTCCCTCCTGTGTCTGCTGTCCTTTCTTCTTATAGGCGCTAACCCATATGCAACCTGGGCAGTTAGGTCCCAATGGGTGACAGCAGCCAGAGCCAGCTCTTTCCCCCTATGCACCAGGGTCACCTGTTGATCTCCTGTCCCTTAGGCTGCCTGGGTTAATAACAGCAGCCATAATGTACTGAAGGCCTTCACAGGACTCACATTAGTGGCAGCCACACTCCCAGGTAAACATTAATTATCAGACTCCTGAGCCCAGTCTGCACAACGAGAGACAGACATTTGTATAAACTGCTAGGTTTGGGAAGGGGCAGGTTTCAGTCAGCCCAGGTTTGCATAATGAAACGTGACAAACTGGCTGTTTAAATGACATTTACTTCCCGTGGTTCTGAAGCCCGGGGGATCAAGATGGAGGTGCCTGCTATTGGGTATGGCTGCTTTCTTACCAAGTACTCATATAATAGACCGAGAGAGCGCTCGTCTCTTCCCTGAGGGCACAGTTCCCAGTATGAGGAACATTTATGACCACACCTACACTGAGGTCACCTCTCAAAGGCTGCATCCACCATTATTCACACCATGGTTCACATGGAGGACTGGGGTTTCAGTGTATGACTTTGGGGTGCATAACAGCTAGTCTTAGCAGGGGTGTTCTCTCTTCTGGTCCCAGCTCTGTAACTGATGCTCAGCTTTTGGGAAGGACCCCTGGAGGTCCCTTTGCTCATCTGTCTTCCTCTAATGTCCTGCCCAGTCTCCTGTGGTCTCCTCTGGTCTCCATCCTTTTCTCTCTTACTGTAAGGAAACACCAGGTGTTTTTGGCTGGAGCCAGCTGCTTTAGTTGGGTTGACTCAGCACAACTCTAGTAAGAGCCTAGGAGAAAATCCAACCCAAAGAGGAAGTGGGGGTCTCAGTAGGCCCCAGCCAGGGGAGTGACTTAAAGGCTTCTCCACACAACTGGCTTTGAAGAAAAGGGTTTAGGGAAAGCTCAATAGGAAAATCAGGTCTTTAAAATAAGTCGCATGCATCAGTCTCCCCAGACACGCAGGGCTCTGAGGACTTGCTG